CTTATTCGAATGTGTAAACCGTTTCTAGTATATGCCTCGTGGTTTGTGTTTTTGATCGGTCAATCGTAGACAATAAACTGATTGTAGAAGCTGAAGTAATTGAGCGAACTGACCACTTTATTTGTCTTGGGATTCTTCTCAACCTCGGTTGTTTGATATACGACAACATCTTAAGACGTTTTCAGGAAGCTCATCTGGTTTTTGTCAGCTTGTGTTTGCAGGGTGCTTCCCTTTTAACCGATTAGCTATTATACTGTGCAGCAGAACTCTACATTTTGCTTTGTTAGTTTATAATCTAATGTTTAAAAGCAGATGACGTCCGTAGATTGCTAATTTTGAACTGTAGATGCTTTTCAATTATTACTGATATATCATGGAAAAAGGGAGTGTTCAGTAGTACGGCTAAGCTTAGGGTACTAAGCAAGGATCTTGAATGGGTTGGTAAAATCTCTAAAGACTATTATGTATGTACTCATCTGGGTTATTCTTTGATTGAAATGTCGACAAACTGCGTGTAGGTTTAGTAGTGACCGTGTCGAGATTGACTATGACCACCACTAAATACTAATTATTAAGTAAATCCAGGGTAAAGGATACATCTGAAGGAGAAAGTGGGCGACACAACGAGCAGCAAATTATGAATGATGACATCAACTCAAAAGAAGAAGTTGCGCGTAAGTGAAGGTTTTTAGTACATTTGAACAAAAAGAGTATAATAATAAATGTTTCCTTTTCATCAAATGTGTTTTCTTCTTAGAAGTGTCACACTACGTAGGTATGTGGCCCGTTGTCTTATTCGGTAAATTTACCCATAGATTTAATAATATTCCGTGGTTAGATTTTGTACACAGATTGAAGCTAACTAGTACATTCCTTTCTTCTAGTCGTACAGCTATCAACCGCACAACGTCAGAAGAATGCAAAGCCCGTGACAGTGCTCATGAAGAGATCTATCAACAATTTCGTGAAGGTGCAGAGGTTCACAGGCAAACAAGAAATTATATTAAAAAATGGATTCGTCCCGGTGTTCGTCTCATTGACATGTGTGAAGAACTTGAACGCACTAGCCGTGCACTCATTTTAGAACGTGGACTAGACGCGGGTTTAGCTTTTCCAACAGGTTGTTCAATTAATAATTGTGCAGTTAATTACACTCCGACTAGGGGTGACAATACTGTTCTAAATTACGATGATGTATGCAAAATCGATTTTGGAGTACATGTAAATGGTAAGTCAACATTGTTTTGATTTAATGGTACATAAGTTATTTTACTTTGGTAAAATAGGCAAGTTATCTTTAAGTATGTGCAATTATTCTTTCATATAATGAAACGTGAGTTTTTACTGTTGAAATTCAGTATATATATGCAATAGTTTTTCTACCCTTGATTCCCTGCTGTCGTTAGACATTACTAAATCAATGCATTCTATTGTGTTTCCATCATCTAAAGAGTCGGTTGATGCATTTGAAATGTAATATTACTTCATACTGATATAAAGATGGATCACTTTCGCAAAATTCCATTGAAGCAAAGATTGAAGTTTTGTTTTGCAAACAAAGAAATCAGCATATCTCATATCAATGAAAGCATAAGTAACCAAATTTATTGGTCAATTATGGCAGTCTCATTGGTTAGTTTTTCGACCTCAACTGTTGATCTTGAAAATTCTTAAGTACTGTGCTAGTAGCTTGGTGTAGTCCATGTTTTTTATTAAGATGTACGTAATTTGATCAGTAGGTTAGTGTGTAAAGCACCGTCGTTCCAAATATTAGGTCGTAAATTGGCCGTTTTTGATAACTGGTCCAAACAAGAATTTCGCCTAGAACTGAGTATATATGTGTGCGCTTGTTACATGATATATTTGATTGAACTTTGATTACTACGTGGTACTGCATATCTATCTAAATCTATAGTCAGATGAATTGTTGCAATAATCATGTACAGTAAAATGTCAACATTTTTCTTCAAACTAATCAAGTCAGATTGATGAGTATTTTTATCGGTTGTATCATTATTTGATCAAGTAGCTTATAATATTTTCTGATTTAATTTTAGGTCGTATTATTGATTGTGCTTTCACACTTCACTTTAATCCTAAATTCGATACTTTGGTAGAGGCTGTTAAGGATGCAACTAATACCGGTATTAAGGTATGCTTATGAATAATAATATCTCTTTAATTTATTCACATGTATGCATAGTTGGTATTTGATGGCACTTAGTGAATAAATTAGTGGTAGCGGTCTGAAAATCGAGTTGTCTTTTTAATACATCAGGTGTTAGAATTCCGTTCACTGAATTAGGAGCAAATATCCTTGTGTAACTTGCATCAAAGAGATTATCTATCAAACATTTAGTTGATTTGACTCAAAGCCTAGTACACAAAGTTATCAGCCAGTCAGACTAACAAAGTTGTACTTCTTAAATCACGTCAAAATTATATTTTATATTGTGTTATGTCAAGGAGTAGAATGTAGACGGAACTAAACAGACACGGAGTCTGTGTTTCAGTGAGCGAATGTTTGGTTTTTAGACTATTGTAACTAACTCAAATTGGACCAACTTATGGCTGATAAACTTGGCGAAACTGTGATGCAAGTTTAGGCACTCCGAGTGATTGCACTACTACGAATACATTCATTCTTTATTTTTCGGGTAGTGCTGAGCGTGGTACTGATGTTTGGGCGACCAAGATAAGAAACAAGTGTTTTTAAAGGTAGGATATTTCAGTCTTTCTATTTTATGATACGTTTGAATCATCAGTCACTAACTTTGGAAATCACACTATATTTGGATTTACTATTGATTTGTGACCATTATTTCTATAAATTTAAATACGCATAGTCATGAATAACTTATTTTGTCTGATACTAGGCAGCTGGTATTGACGTACGTTTGTATGATGTTGCAGCAGCTATTCAAGAGACAATGGAGTCCTACGAAGTGGAATTAGATGGAAACACTTACCAAGGTAAATCGCTCACTATCATGCTTTGAATGAGTTATTCTTTTGAGAAAGTAATCCAAGTTTCCGTTATTTCTGTTTATTCGATTATTTGTTTTTACTGTGAATGAAGCAAATAAAAATTAGACACAACTTTCACGTCTGCCACGTAATATTTGTCTAATGGAAAACAGACGAAATTTCACTTATCTATAAATATACATATGTGTATATATATTTCGTGGCAATTTCTTTTTTGATTCGTGCAAAGGACTATCACAAATAGCTGCAACTTCTGTTGAAATCGATTTGATAATGCTGAAGCACTAGATACAAGTATGTTGTTGAAGTATAGAGATACGCCTGACAACCTCTAACTACCTGGTCGATGAATATTTGGAAGTTTCGAGCTGCCCAGATATGTAAAGGTGTTAACGTCCTCCAAGGCATCTCCATCAAGAGTGATTTGGTTGGTGCATGTTGTGTTGCATCGGAGAATTTTGCTTTTCCCTCTATGTATGTTGAGACCTATTGCTGCAGAGGCTGCTGCTACACTGGTCGTCTTCTCTTGCATTTGTTGTTGAGTGTGCGATAGAAGAGCCAGGTCATCTGCGAAGTCCAGATCGTCCAGCTGCGTCCTAACTGTCCAGTTGATACCGTGCTTCACTCCAGATGTTGACGTCTTCATAATCCAGTCGATGACCAGGAGAAAGAGAAAGGGTGAGAGTAAGCAACCTTGCCTGACACCGGTCTTCACCTAAAAAGAGTCTGTTAGCTGTCCTTCGTGTAGGATTTTGCAGTTGAATCCATCATAAGAATTCCGTATGATGTTGACTATTTTCTCAGGCACACTGTAGTGTCGAAGAAGCCTCCACAGTGTTTTCCTATCCACGCTATCAAATGCTTTCTCGTAGTCGATGGAGTTGATGTAGAGTGGTGACTTCCATTCAACTGATTGTTCCACAATGATCCGTAATGTAGCAATTTGGTCAGTACACGATCGATCCTTACGAAATCCGGCCCGTTGATCTCGAAGTTGGGCGTCTACGAAGTCCTTCATTCTGTTTAACAATACCCTGTTGAAGACTTTGCCTGGTATTGAAAGAAGAGTGATGCCCCTGTAGTTCTCACACTTGCTGAAATCGCCTTTCTTTGATATTTTGATCAGGTATCCTTCTTTCCAATCTGATGGTACTTGTTCCTCATCCCAAATCTTCTTGAAGAGGATGTGAAATATTTTTGCAGTTGCTTCCACATCTGCTTTCATTGCCTCTGCTGGAATGTTGTCTGGTCCTGCTGCTTTGCCGCCTTTGATTTTTCTGATGGCCATACTGATCTCCTCAATTGTAGGTGCGCCAATAATAATTGGGAGGTCCTTGGATGCTGCTTCGATGTTAGGTGGGTTCAGTGGAGCTGGTCGATTCAATAGTTCCTTAAAGTGCTCCACCCACCTATTTCGCTGTTCGTCAGTGTTGCTGATTATTTTCCCTTCCTTACTTTTCACTGGTCGTTCTGGTTTACGATAGTTCCCGGCGAGCTTCTTTGTTGTTTCGTGCAATTGTCTCATGTTTCCTTCTCTTGCAGCCTTTTCCGCAGTCATTGCTAGATCTTCCACATATTTCCGTTTGTCAGCTCTGATGCTCTTCTTCACTTCCCTGTTTGCTTCTGTGTGTGCAGCTTGTGCGGTAACTTTCTCTGCTCTTGTTTGGCTGACATTCACTGCTGCCTTCTTGTTCCTCCTTTCTTGAATTTTTTCAAGAGTACCAACAGAGATCCATTCCTTGTGATGGTGCTTCTTGCGACCAAGGACCTCCTGACATGTTGAAGTGATTGCCTCCTTAATCCCTTTCCAATTGTTCTCCAATGTTGCTTCCTCTCCATTGAGTAGATCCTGAAAGGCCTGGAACCTATTGGTGAGAGCTATCATGAATTCGTTGAGTTTTACGGTATTTCGAAGAAAGGCCGTATTAAACTTCTGTGATGTTGTCTGCCCCGCTGTCCAGTGCTTCTTTAGCTTCAATCTCATTTTGGCGATCAGCAAGTGGTGATCTGAAGCTATATCAGCTCCTCTCTTGGTTCTCACATCCTCCATGGTCCTTCTGAACTTTTTGTTGATACAGATATGGTCAATTTGGTTTTGAGTAGTGTGGTCCGGTGAAATCCATGTGGCTTTGCGAATTCGTTTGTGCGGGAATATTGTGCCACCGATGACCAGTTTGTTGAAGGCACATAGGTTTGCAAATCTCTCACCGTTTTCGTTCCTTTCTCCCAGTCCATGTCGTCCCATGATGTCTTCATATCCAGTGTTGTCCATTCCAACCTTGGCATTCAGGTCTCCCATAAGAATCGTCAAATCCTTTGGTGAACATTTATCGACGACTGACTGCAGCCTTTCGTAGAATTGATCTTTGTCGTCGTCATTGTAGTCATTGGTAGGTGCATAACATTGGATGACGTTCATTGTAATGTCCTGTTTCTTTGTTTTGAAGGATGCTTTAATGATCCTGGGTCCATGAGATTCCCATCCTATTAGTGCCTTTTGTGCATGTTTGGACAGCATCAATGCAACTCCTTGTGTATGTGAATCATTTTCCTCTTCATGACCAGAGTATAACAGCAGTTCCCCTGAAGCTAGTCTCAGTTGTCCTACTTGTGTCCAATGCGTTTCACTGATGCCGAGCACCTCGAGGTTGTATCTTTTCATTTCTGCCGCAACTTGAAATAGTCTTCCAGTCTCCTACAATGTACGGACGTTCCAGGTACCTAAGAAAATGGTTGCTCTGGTTGTCCGAAGAGGCATCAGCCCCGTGACATCCGACGGAACTCGGCTTTCATCACGCGAAGTCATAATTCTTCTTCCAACTCCCGAGGCAGAGTTAAAATGGTTTGAATTAATTTTTCTGGTTAGCGTATTTTGGCAAGTTAGATTTTGACGGAATGGGGTCGCCAACCCCATGTCCAACCCTCCTCCTTTATTCGAGCTTGAGCTCCTGATTTATAAACCCAGCTTAAGAAAACGGTGTAAATTGTCACACTACACTGTAGTTAAGTTCGCAGCTGTTAGGGTGAATCGGAAAGTGATCAGACTTGCTACAATTGTTTTGCGGTTGCTCAGTCTGCGTAAAGTCATCTGCGTTAATGAACATATCAGAGAGGACAGTCCAGATCAACAGTACTGGATTTCCTATGGCGAAAAGGCCTACAGACATTTTGTGAATTGCTGTAAACTTGATCCGCTTGCAGGCTCGTCAAGTGTTTAAGACCAGTCATACTTTCTAACAAGTGCTCACAGGAATCTATTTCAGATGAAACACATGAAGTAGTGGATGGTGTCAAGTGACTGGGAAGAATGTTAATTGTATTTATATCAACGAGCGGGATACAAGGTAAAGAGATGTCGTTTTCAAGTTCACAGTAAGATCCTATCGAGCCAGTAGGAAGATCAGAATAAGGTACGGATGGAACGCTGTTCCTACGTTTGATTTTATCGATTTTAGTAGTGGATTTGGATATTTTACACGTGTTATATTCGACAAGGTGAAATCAAGTGTTTTTTTATAATTGTGACATGTTTGTGTAGTTATTGGTAAGCAGAATTTTGTTACTATAAGCACAATGTCTGTTTGAAATTATGAAGCCATAAACTACAGCGAATATAACTAAAATAAGAATCACATAAGAGTGGTTATATAAGATGGTTTTATATGTCCCGTTGCACTAGAGTAAAACGATCGGAAAACGAAAAAGACAAAACATGTAAATAAAATGTAAAACCTTCAAAGTACGCGCCTCCTCTCAAGCTCCTTTCAGTATTACTTCCTACTTCCATCTCAACGAATCAGTATCACTGTTTCAATGCTATTCAATATCTTTTACTTGGAATATGCCGTTGAAACAGGTACTTCGGTTAACAGTTTGTAAATCGGGAATAAATTTTTCTAATTGAACATCACATGTGAGATACATTTGAATTCAAACCATAATGATGTTTACACGGGTACAATGTTTCGGGGAACCGACCACATGCTCGTCTAGGGGATCGGTTCATCTGGGTTTTCATTTCGTGAGGAGGACGTTTGCAGTCTCTGTTGTCCAGGATGTTAAGTTTCTCCCTGTAAGAACGTCAGTGATTAAACGAATAAATAATAAACAGTGTCACACACAACAATCACGTTCCATGTTCAAGTCTGATCATCTTGTCTTCAAATAACAACTCAAAACAAGTGAGTAAACTGTTCATAATGATTAATACAGATGATACATCAAACGCACAAATCTGAAAAAAAATATTTACTGCAATCTACATGCAATTGCACTTGTGGAAACAACTACGGACACATTTCCTATCACCATTGTCTCCACTAGATTGGACTATTGTTACTGCTACATTTCATGTTAGTATTAGGCATAAGAGATGTTTTCTTGTTGAGGTAGAACCATGTACTAAACAGTTCACAAATAACAGTTTCGCCATAATATGTTTGTCCATCATGTAGTATAGAATGAAGTTTGCGGTTTGAGTCATTTTTATGCGTTAGTTAAGCAAACGACATAGGTTTTGGGACTTTCATGTAGTGGCGAGGGCAGTGTTTTCTTCTATTCGCTTACGCACTTCATGTTGGTTTTTCACACCTTCAAGTATAGTGTAAATTTGGTACAAGATTCGGTAGTCCTTAAATTTGCAATATGCCCGTTTTACTTCAGGTAGTTTAGCCCTAACATTAGAGTTGATATAAAGAGTAACTGTTTTGAAAGATGTTTCGACTAAGATAGTAGTGGGGCACAGTTTTGGAGGTTTGCGTTTTTACACATTTGAAATCATTAATCAATCATCATTGTTAGACCACCATTAGAAACCTGGAAGCACTGGACGGCCGTTTCGTCCTAGTATGGGACTCCTCAGCAGTGCGCATCCACGACTCCTGCTCCTCGCAGGATTCGAACCCGGGACCTTTGGCATTGTAGGCGAACGCCTTACCATCGAACCACTGGGCCGGCATCCAACGGTGTTAATGTCTAACTCTGATTGATCTAGGGATTTTGCGCGACCTCA